AAAAGGCAAAAATCTTCTCAATCTTACATTATCTCTTCCGCCGCTCTCCCTCCACGCCGCGCCTATGATGCATGGACTATGAACGCGGAGCCTCAACAACCAGAATCGACGAACACCAACAAGGAAGAAGCAGATAGAGCTCACTGCGACTGGAACTTCCGTCTTGCCACCGTCGTCTCGCCGCCGGCCTCCAGGCCGGAGGCTTCCGATGCCATTGGCGCCATCGAACTTGACCCCTCCGACCGCCTCCTCGCCACCGCTGGAATCGCCCGCAAGATACGTTTTTACACTCTTGCCACTCTCCTCCCTCACAACCCCCCGGCTTTTCTCTCGCACTCCTCCGCATGCGACTTCTATCTCTGCACCCCCGCCAAGCTCAGCAGCCTCCGTTTCCGTCCAGCCACCGGTTCCCGCCTTATCGCCGCGGCCGACTACGACGGAGTTGTTACTGAATACGACCTCGAGAATCGTGAGTCGGTTTTTGAGCGCCACGACCATAACGGCCGCCGGGTCTGGAGCGTGGATTTCTCAGCCGCCGGCGATCTCGGGGCTTCGGGCTCCGACGATGGGGTGGCGAAGGTGTGGGACCCGCGAAGTTCCGCGGCGGGAACCGCGGTTCACGCGGGGACTGGATCGGTCTGTTGCGTGGAATTCGACCGAGTTGATAATGGGCCGTATCTGGCTCTGGGATGTGCGGACAGGCGGGCTTATGTTTACGATCTACGGGCAGCGGGGGCCGGACCGGTGGCGGTTTTCGGAGGGCACAAGCGAACGGTGACGTACGTCCGATTTATGGGAGGCGTGCGGATGCTGTCGTCGGGGACGGACGGATCCCACCGGCTGTGGGAGGCCGGCGGTAGGGAGTTGCGGGCGTACAGAGGCCACAGGAACGGGAGGAGTTTTGTTGGTATGGCGGTGTGGCGGGAGGGTGGGCTTATCGGTTGCGGGTCCGAGACTAATGAAGTGTTTGTTTACGATTTGAGGTGGGGAGAGCCAATATGGGTTCGAGGATTCGGGCCGGCCGAGTCAAGCTTTACGAGCGCAGTCAATTGGCGTGGCGCCGGCGCCGGCGGTACTGATGATTGTACGCTGATCGCCGGTGGATCTGACGGGGTTCTACAGTTTTTTTCTTGCCGGCGAAATCAGCCGGCGGATTGATTAATTAGCCGGTACTCGAGTTACATTTATTTCAAATAAAATATTTTTTTTTCTCTGTGATCGTTCGATACTCGTGTGAATGTACTTAAAAAAAAAAAAGATTGAAATTGTTTTTATTTATGAGTACTTATTAAGAAGGTTTTGGAGATCTTGTGTGATTCGGTTCATTCATATTTTTAAGGAAGAGAAATTATTTTATGCGAATATTAGACTGTTTGGAGATCAATTAGAATACGTCATGTCTCTTGGTATTGAGCGGTACCGAGAGAAAAAGTGACATGGTGTGTTCTGATTGGTCTCCGAGCATCGTCCGATATCCGCACATAAATTTTTTTTTTGTTTCGAGGGGAACCTTTCATGTTGAGTGTGTAGCAATCAGTGTGCTATCTATTTTTACTCCTATTCTTATTCTCTTAAAGGTACAGAAGATTTCTCTATCTCCTTCCTCTCATTCTCATTTGTTCTTACAGAAAGACCAATTTTTATCTTATATATATGCAATTAGTTATTCATGTAATGAATTTACTTATCCTCAAAAGAAAAATTGGTTTCGCCGCTACATACTTTGCTTAACTAGATCAACAAATTTTATGATAGATATAAGTAAAATTTGAAAACTTGCCTAACGTTGAATTGACTTAGTTCAAGCTGAGTATTAGATGTAGATTGCTCTAAGTGCATGGCTCAGACTATTTCTAATAAGTTTCTCATGAGTTATGTCTTACTCACATTGTATTCGATGACTTTGACTTTGAAATTTATTTATTGGACTCTTCCATATTAGCTATTGGTTGGTGTATCTCATTTAAAAGTTTGAGAACTATGACTCATTCAAAGTTGACTTCTTAGGCATTAGTTTTGTTATAATGAGTCAAAAGACTAGTTTACTTTAATTTTTTGATGGAATTCTATTTAATTTTGTATAACACATTATGTCATATTGACCTTGACTTTGCATATAGATAGGGAGGCAAATATTGATTAATTTAAGGCACACATTTTAAAGCAATCATATATTTTAAATCTCTCCCTCTCAAACTATTTTTGTTAAGCATTTTATTGTACTAGAAGTTATAAAAATCAATGAGATTCTATTTCATAATATTTAATCAAAAAAACATGTCATTCAATGTGCATTAAATTCAGTGCATCAATGAATATACACTTATATTCGAATTTATAGATCTTATAATAGTAAAAAAAACTCATGCCATCTAAGTTCGATGCATGTGTGCTCATGTTTCAATGAAACTCGTATTTTTTGTGCTGAGAGAATCTTCAAATTTGTCTGTTAATTTAGGCTTCTTTTGGGACAGAGTTTTTACTGCTTCATAAAGCGACTTTTTAGGACGAAAATTTCTTGAAGTATAAATTTTTGTACTTGAAAGCTGTTTTATAAAGCAGTAAAAAAATTATCCCAAACAAAACCTTAATTATATGCATACATATAACGAACAAGCTTGAGTGAACTCATGCATTGTATGAGTAACAATTATTAATCATTGCATGAGCATGACATCTTTTTACGAGACGAAAGATAAATATTATGATGAAAAAACATAAAGTGTTGTTTTTTAACTGTTTTGAATTTTAGCAATTCAAAAAACTTGAATGATAAAATATAATAAAAATAAATTACTTAACTTTCCAAGTAAATAATATACTTATGTTTCATTTAGGACAATTTACTTAAAAATTTATTTAAACATAGAATTTTTTACTAAAAAACTTATTTTAAAAAATAATAAAAAAGTTATGATAAATGAAGTCTTACTCTCCATATGAGTTATAAAAGTATGGTATAATCTATTTAAGAGTATAATTTCTTAGTCATATGCATATTTCTTCATCTATTATTAAAAAAAAACTTTAACTAATAAAATTCAAAATAATCAGAAAATCAAAATTGTAATATTAAAAAAAACAATCAATTTTTTTATTTTTTGTTTCACAACTTTTAATTTAACAACTTAAAATCCAAAACAAATATAATAAAAATATTATAAGAATAAATAGTTTTATTACTTAAAAAAAAAATTCAACGTAGATGGCAGCACAGGGCTGGCGGAGGTCCACGTAGAGGTGGACAGGTGGGGCATGGAATCAACAGTAACTTATAAAGGTTTATGCAATGAATAGGAAAGGCCGAGGAGCCAAAGCGTAGTTGCAATAAATTAGCGGCTACCGCTTCGGGAAACTTATGGCTGCTGTTGTGGAACGGCGGACGCCAATAGTTCCTTCACGGTATAATCTATTCTGTAGGGCTGATATTAAATTCATTATAATATATAGGTATATTTTCAATTCAGAATAAATTGGAGAGTAGTTGGATGTCCATAATTATGATTATTACTGTAGAAGATACGCTGAAAATTCGATTGAAAATTATTTTCGTTAAAACCAATCAAATAAATAAATAAAATGAATGCTAGGCTAATAATTTCCCAAAAAAAAAAAAAATGTTAGGCTAATCGTTTACTTAGGCAATGATTGGCTCTGACGTGATGTAGTGGAGAAATTTTGGAGAGATTATTATGTGTGGTGTCAAACCTCTAATTTATGCACCTTGGTATCCTCTTTCATTACTAATGGTGCCTGGACTCTTCTTGTATACTTGCCTGCATCGCTATTAAATGAGATTTCTGTTATTCCTATAGTATATTGCAATACTGACTGTTTAATCTGGGATGGTAAAGCTTCTTCTAAATCTGGTAGATTTGGAAGTTTTGTGTTTGAATATTATTGTTCCTTGTCCCCCTCAAGATATATCACATTGCCTTAAACAATTTTGGATTTATTATTTAAATTTAAATTTAAAATCTTTAGGAGAACTTTATGTTTGATATATCATCAAAAATTTGTGTAGACCGGGCACAAATCTCGAGGCAAAATTGAGTTGAAAGCTTACAAAATTAAATCTGCGACCATCTAAACTCCGATTTCAGCAAATTACAATCGAACAGAATGTCTCGGAAAGATGAATCTAACGACACAAAAATCAGTCAAATTCAAGCCCAAATGAGCCCAAATCAAGAGTCCAAAGTATATTTGGAGGGTTAAAAGCATAGTTTGGATTACCAAACGAATTCCAAACTTGACATGCTTATAATCAAATCGAGCAGTTCGATGAGACAAATCTAATGAGTGCGCTTCATGACCGTATCTTCAACGGTTCCATCTCGCACAATTAGTTTATTTTCTCTATATATGTTTTTTTTTTTTTTTGCAATAGTTAGATTTCCCATTTTTTTCAAGTATATCACATTGCCTTAAACAATTTTGGATTTATTATTTATATTTATATATTTTAGGAGAATTTTTTGTTATTGTTTGTTTTGTTTAAGATCCAAAATATTTGAGTAAGAGATTTTATTTAATGTTAATTCATGAATATACAAATCTGTTATAATTTGTTGTTATCCTCTCTTCCATCTAATCCATACCGCACAAGCAGCTAAATCCTTTATATATATGATTCTTATATTAAATATTTAGTACTTCTATCATTCCAGTTATTTATCATACCCTATTTTAGCAAAAAATATTTAATTAAGCATGTGTCTCAACTAGAACTGTTAATATTGGACCCGACCTGAACCCGACACGAAAATTTCGGATTTGGGTTGACCTGAACTCGAAGCGGGTCGGGTTCAGCTTGACCCGGGAATAACTCGAAATGACCCGGAATGCACACAACCTCTGTCCGGAATGTCCGCATCGGAGTCCTGAGGCCAAGCCAGTTCCGCGCTGCGTCCAAAATCCCGAAGCCAGGCCAGTTCCGCGTCGTCCTGAGGACAGGCCAGTTCCGCGTCGTCCCGAGGCCAGGCCAGTTTCGCGCCGTCCCGAGGCCAGGCCAGTTCCGCGCCGTCCCGAGGCCAGCCATTTTCGCGTGCGTTGCGTCCCGAGGCGGCGAGGCCAGGCGGCCCAGGCCAGTTCCGCGTCGGCGTCCTGCGTCCGGCAGTTCCGCGTCGTCGGCGTCCAGAGGCCATGTCTCGTCTGTGGTGTCCGTGGGTTGGGTCGGTTTGACCCGAACCCGAAGCGGGTCGGGTTTGGGTCCAGAAAATCGCCCCTTTTGCAAAACCAGGTTGGGTCGACCCGAACCTGAATAGTGCCGGGTCAATTTCGGGTTCGATCTGAACCCGACCCGTAACCCGAAATTGACACCTCTAGTCTCAACATTAATTGTGCACGTGTCTTAAGATTAGTAAATTTAATTACGGAACTAATTAGGCACGTACCATTTTAGATAATGTAGAAGTTTTTTTTTTTAACGATGATCATATAAAGTATTAGGATATAAGAGTTTGAATTCTCTCTTTATACTAATCCATTAGCAGATATTTTCATTACACAACTATTGCAAGATGGATCAATCAGCTGCATCGCTTATGTTAGTATATGGTGGTCAATTGATCATTGATGGTCATATTTTTCCTACATATTAGGGCGCCCGGGAATTTAATTTGGAAGAATTATTCTTTTATCCTTTATAATTAACATTAGAACTATCTATTTAACTTTTATCAATATAATATCAGCTAAAAATAACTAGAAATCAAAACATCATTATTATTCCAAAATCATATACAATACTCATGAATCATACAATTACAATCTATCATCATCAATATTGAGTATAAAATAATAGCTAAAAGATAGAAAGAAATAAACCAACAATAAATTTGAAAATTATGTTCTAATCAATCTCACACACATGATCATCTGGTATGACCTAAATTCATTTAAACCACATATAATGAACTAAATAGCCCAACATATTACTGAAGTCTATAACCGAATTCAAAATACGGTAAAGAAGCAGTATGCATGTCATAAGTCATTTTATAACAATAACAGTCATATGACCATGAATCAGTACATAAATAGTAAAACTCACATACAGTAGCAATATAATTTGTAAATAATAAAATAGTACGACATAAAAATCAATAAAGCAGTATAGTGGGGAAATCAGTAAAATAGTATGGATGTCGAATAAGTAAAGCAAGCGTCGTATCTATACTATCAATCAACAAAATAATTGTATAAAGTGGTAAAACTCATATTAATATAATAAAATATTATAACGACATCAAATAATTAGTATTTTAATCATACACTCAATATATCACGTACTCAATATAAGTACAGTGAATCA